TAATAATAATACGGTAGTGTTTCAAATATTGGCATGTACTTTAGGATTATAAAAATGTATAAACCTTTTTTGCATCAGGTTCACTTTTTTTACCTTGCACTTCCTCACCTTCAAATGTTCTCCCCATCTGACTCTGAGCACATCCTGCCTCAGGATCAACTTCATCTTGCCATGGGCCTTTGGTTGTACTGTGGTTCTAGTCAGACCTCAAAAATGAGATGATCGTGGTTAACCAGCCAAGCTTGTAAACTACACAGTGGTCTCTGAGAATTCCCCCAGCATCCCTGCCCATGGGACACTTCCCTGACAGCCAGAAACTGGAGTCCTCCCTCTCTTCCTTTCCCATCCTCTGTGATTTGTTGAGCTTCCCCAGAGATAACCCCTTCTCTGCTTTCAGCAGCTTTCATTATCAGTAAAAACCAAAGTAGCTAGCTTCCCTAAACCAAGTAGTATTGAAGATTCTAGGAATTAGACTCTATGTAGTCTCTGAGCTCTTTTTGATTACTGTAGTTGTTTGGATTTCTTAAGTTTTCCAGAATAGTGGAATAAGTTTTAGACCCATAGAGATATTCACACCTGTCCAAATAATGCCTGAAAATGGAGTAGAAGCTGTCATATTAAATACACATTATAAAATGTTTTCCCTAGTGTATCATCACTTGGGACAATGATTCAGAAATTTTCTAGCCCAGTATGGCCACAGAAATTGCCACTTATGCATTATGTAGGTCACATAAATATTTAAGCAATTGTATTTAGAAGATTTCAGCTAGTTTCCTACTAATGTTGATAGCTTGGAAAGTACTGCCTTAAAGTACATAGTTAGAACTACATAGTTCCTTATGATCATCAGCTGTATTTATTCTCTGCATATTCTAGTTAATTTCCATGTTGCTGTTTTTAAACTATTGCAGGAGGCTTAACTACCTGGAGTAGGTCTTAGCAGGAAGGCATCAATTGCTGCTGCTGAAAAGTTGATTTTGTTTACTTAGAAATTGCAGTTCTCATGGCCAACATTTTTAATTAGTAACAATGTTTTCTGAGGAGCACAGAAGTAGGCTCAGAATCCTCCTCAACATAGTATTTCCAAGGCAGCCACTACTAATACATTAACATTGGCTTGAGAAACAAAACCATTACTGCCTCTCTCTGCTGAGTTGCTGGTTTTGTTTTCAGGGACCCAGTGCCTGCAAGGCAGAGTAGTTGCCACTAGATGGCAATAGTGCTGTGTCAAGAGAGTCCTCAAAGCCCAGGTCTCATCTGTTCCATCTGAGGCATTTACACATTTAAATGTGCATGGAAGTCCTTAACCACTCACAACAGCTGTTGCCTTACCTTCCCAGTCCAACTGGTGAAAATTCTTCTCTATACCCTTGGACTTGATGTTCAAAAACTAAAAATCTAAGGAAGAAAGTATAAGGGTACACTTACTTCTTGCCTTGTCGCCAGGGGCAATTTTTGTTTCCATGTCTAGAGTATCCTGTTCGCCTATAGTATTGTCTTCCTTGTTATTCCGGGAAGATGCTTCAGCTACTTCTCATTTCTTTTTTCCTCTTGACAACATATTTACTTTTTCTGAGCCTTAGTTTCCTCACTTATAAAGAGGATTAAAAATAGACACCCTGGGAGTGTTGTTTTAGAGGTTAAAAGTGATATATCTAAAATCATATGTGTTATGACAAATGGATTTTTAGGCATTTTAATAGTATATTGCCATTTTTTTGCTATTACAGGTACACTATGTTTTTTAAAAATATAAGACAAAGCTTAGCAACTACCTTTTCTTTATTTTTTGTTAATTAAACTGAAAATTTCACCACTGGCTCCTCAGTACTTACTGCCCTTTCCCCATCTTTTCTTCCAAATGCAGCAGCTCACCCCCCTAGAGGGCTAAACTTTTCAACATTCTACCCTTTGGGGTCCGATGAACCAATGACAGCCCAGTTCTTAGATGGAGCATTTCGGTGCTCACAGTGCTGCCAGTTGTTATCTTCTACACTGAGTTTTAATATTTAGGTATAAAACTATTTCTCCCTCCTCTGTACTACCAGACTACTGTATCTATTGTTATTGGTTTGCACATACATCTGCTCCCTTATCTTTATGCTTTTTAGAAAATATCTCCAAGTTGTAAGCACATAGTAGGCACTATATGTTTGTTACATATATTTGGTATCATAGTTATTAACAAAACACTTTTTCATATACAAGAAAGACAATCAATAGGTTATCTTGTGGTCTTTATGTTGCTCTGTCGTCAGAGCTCTTCATCAGTTTAGGATGTTATATCCTAATTGAAACTATGAGTAGCCATGAATAAATTTAAATGATTGTGAATTTCAGAGATAGTGTTCCCATTTCATGTGCCTCAGTCTCCTTTCTCTTTACCAGCACCATAAATCAAGGCACAGGATCTGATTTTGGCCAACAAATGATTATCATTCATTGCGTAAGTACTATGTAACCTGACCTTAAAAGGCTGCTGAACTTCACAAGATGGCAGTGAGTCTAGCCACCAGCTGGGTCTAGTTTCACAGTACCTGTGAATAGAAGCTGATTTTGCAAGAGGCTGGGGAGTCAATGCCTCATCCTTCCGTCTCTGATCTGGGATGTATCAGTGTTTTCAGGCCGTGGAACTGCATCATCTCTCACAAATTCTGATTCCTCTTGGATTTAAAATACATTTGAAATCTGCATTTTGTTCTCAGACCACAAGCTGTGTAAACACGCAGTTTCTGAGATGAACTCCTGTAACGTTCTGTGTACTCACTGCTGATCTCATCTTTGAGTGTCACTAAAAGCTGGGTAAAAACAAAATCTGAACAGTGAGATAGATGGATAATATATATGAAATTGTTGGGAAATGGGTAATAATGTTTTAAATATTATAGGTAATACAAACAGACTAAAGTAATTTTTAAGACTAAGATTTCAGTGAATATTTCTTTGAACTTGGAGCAGCTAAGAACTACTTAAGCATGAAAACAATGGAAAGATCATCAAGAGAAATTAATGTTATGTTTATATTACAAATTAATACATATTAAAAAGCTTCAGGGTAGAGAAGAATAAAGATGATTGGGTTAAAAATACGTACATATATATGGCAGGCAAAGGTGCAATGTCTTCAATGTATGAAAAACCACTCTCTTGGACCAGTGATAAGGCATAGTATAATAAAAGCATTATTGTAATATTAATAATATTAATTGTTTAATCTTATAATATGCTGGGCACCCTTCTGCGGCCCTGTCTCATATTTTTATCATCATAGTAATCCTTAGAGGGAGATGCTTGTCATTATTGTTACATTTTACAGGTGATAAAACAGAGGCTCAGTGAGGTTGAGTAACTTGCTTATGCTCATACATCTAGTGAAGTAGCCAGAAAACTGTGTACTGTTTCTGGATGCACAGCTGCCTTTCTGACCCCGGAGTGTGGTTCTGATGTCTGTTTTCTCAGCCACTATTCTATACTGCTTAGCATAGGCAAAAGACAGGAAAGGAAGTTTTTTTAAAAAAAAGAAAAAAGATAATGACCCAAAAGCATAAAAAAATGTTCAGTTTCATTAACGATACAAGTGCAAATTAAAATACATGAAATACCATTTCTCTTACAAATGCAGTGGTGAGAGTAGGAAGGGTACACAGAGCCGTGGTGGGAAGGTATTTCTGGAGTGAGTGTCCCTCTCATCGTCCTGATGGAGAAGGCCCTGCTGACAAAGGCTTTGTGTGACTGGGGATCCTGCCCCAGGGCTGAGGCTGGAAGTTGTCCTGCTTGTGACAGTAGGGGACTCCATGCCGTTGTCTTGGTCACTCTTCTGGAGAACTGTGGAGAAGATGCTGCTGGTGCCACAGCCTGGTTTTTGAGCTGCAGGTATACAGTTGGTTACATTGCCCTGGCCCAGACAGCATAGGGTGGAAGGCCGCCCTTTCTCAGAAGGAGCAGGGTCTGGTCAGTGACAGCTGCAGGTGTATGTGGAAGAATGATTGAGGTTTTAGGGCCTTTCTTTTTCTAAAATCTCTGAAGAGATTGCTAGGCTTTTAGCTTTGATTTAAAAATTTGAAATTATGCATCTTTTGCAGCATTATGATATCTGAAAGAAATTTAATAAAGCTGTACTCAGTTGTCTCAACTGTTGACAAATGATTCTTGATGTTTAGTTTGGTGCAGGATGCCGGGAATGTAAGTCTACTTCCTTTATTCAAACTCAGTAAATGGTTTGGGACAATTAATTTCCAATTGTTTCCCAGTAGAGCAGATTTACTTGTATATTAATGAGGCACAGGTGTTAGGCCCCTGGTGTCTGCGTGCCTGGGAGGCATATTTCAGTTGTTTATCTACTCAGCCATAGGTACTGCAAGGTACTCAAGCTTGCCTGTAACAGTTTTTACAGTGAGGCTTTTTGATTTTTGATTTTTTTTTCAAATTTGCCTGCACCTGTTAAAATTTTAAAACTGATCATGTAGAAAGAAGTTGCAGAGATTTTAACAGTAAATAGCACTAAAAGTTAAAGAAAGTAGTCTTCTGTTATATTTACCTGCCCAACCTAACATTAAAGAGAAATGGGTTCATTTAAACAGATATTTCATGTGTAGATCCAACAAAACCAACAATACACTTTTTTCATTGTGTGTTTTTGGAGCATGTATGTCTTTGTCAATGGCTAAAGCAGTCATAAGCTTATATTAATATTCAATTTTTATCTTGTCTATTCACTGAACTGCACTATCAACATTTTAGAGGGAACGGAATAGCCTCCATAGACATTATGTATTTCAGTAGCTGGCATAATTATAGCGATCTACATATTCATTAAATCTACAGAAGAACTCTGTCCAAAAAGACAGTCATGCGTTCAGAAACAGTGCACAACTAAATTTATACGTTTTAAAAGTTGCATTTCTTAGACTTATTTAAAACTAATTTCCTGTAGCACTTCCCTCCAAGCAGCAGAATTTTAACAAAAGGATCCCCATGCTTTGGTTTCTTGAATATAGGAAAGAATGGGAGGAACTATTTGTAAACAACAATTACTTGGCAACAATAAGGCAGAAGGGGATTAATGGGCAGCTGAGAAGCAGCAGGTTCCGCAGCATTTGCTGGAAGGTAAGAAGAAAATATTTATTTACAGTTTGTGGTTGCAGTATATCAGCATATTACCTGATGCCCTGGAAGACCACCCATGCAGGGGGTCACTGCATTTTCCAAGAGACTTCACTCTCGATTTTTTGGCCATCCATATTTATCTTTCATAGGACATTTACTGATGAGGTTGAAGCACCTTAATTCTGAGTAACCGGCAGTGGTAAAGGAGTCCTTTGAAATAACTGTCTTCTCATCTCATGTGATGCTGCCAGAATTCAGAACAACACCTTTACAGTCCCCACAGGCTTTGCAGAGATCCCAGATGCTGGGCAGGAACAGAGGGGATTAACTTTCAGGTTCCTATTATATGTTGTGCGGTCGTTTAGTCATCTTCCCTTTTTTCTTCATAAATAGCAGGTAGAAAAGAATTTTTATGTCTCTTTCACTATGAACACAAACTATAGGGCAGCAAGAAGTGGAAGGAAATTAGGTCAATGTCTTTCCAAGAGAAAGGGCCATTGGTTAGCAAAACTAGTAATAATCTGCAATTATCTTTTTAATTGCTTGGAAATACTGTCCCTCTTTCTCTTAAAATGAATTAATTTAGGTTTGTCTCATTTCTAAAATGATTTCTGTTGAAAATTTTCTAGGGTAGATTTGCATGCTTTGAGCATCCAGAGGGTGCAAGTGAAGACAGTAAGAAAACATGATGTATTAGACAGTTTTAGATTTAATAATTTAGATTTAATAATTAAAATACATTTTTCTTCTGTTAGATGCAGGCAGTAAAGGCAGGAGACCTACTGATGGAAATTTGTATACAAATATTTGTGCCTCACCCCCCCATTCTTTGTTGTTTAACTTTTAGTACCCTTCATTTGCTGAAAATAAACTCAAATCCAGATTTATTTTAATGTTGTATAAAACGAAATTAAATCAGATTTGTCTTTTTAAGAATGCTTGTTATTTTCATAAGCAGATTGCTAGTTGTAAATTAAATTTTCTGCTGTAAAGGAATGACTTCACTTCTCAGGCTGTGTCCTCAGATTGCTCTTCTCTGTCCTTCACCTGCTTCATGGAGGACAAATCTTAACCTTGAAATTACTCGTTGGACCTTATCTTGTTAATGTCCTCTCTTTCCCCCAAAATGGTACTTCTCCACTTCACTAGCATAGCAATTCAGGACTGTAAAGTCAAAATTATACCTGAACCTCAATGAATTTTTTGTTCATTTTTAATAAAAATCAGAAAAGAAGGTTGATTACATTTTGTGGTGTAGCTTTTGGGATCTTGGGTTTGTTTTTTGTCTTGGCCTTTATTCACATTTTGAATTGTCCAAATAAGTATTTCTTACATATCTCCAAATGTAATTGATTCAAGAATTGTAATGATAGGAATATGAAATACCAGGAATATGAATATCTCAATTTTCAGGTGATTCTGGCTGACATAGTTTCACATTTACTTCTTATGATTTTTACAGAAGTTTCCTTTTTTTTCTCTTGACAGCTATTTCTTTGTGTTCTTCCTCAAGATAAAAGTCAGTGGATAAGTAAGAGTAAAGAATTAAGAGCATGGTATAGCAACATCAAAGAAATAGTGAGTTGTACTTTAATTAACATAATTGTTTTCAAATGTATGCTTTCAGGTCCAGTGGCCTCTGATCTTTGTGTGTTTTCTTTCTTTCTTTACCAGCACATCACAAACCCAAGGAAGGTCGTGGGCCAGCAGGACTTGATGATCAATAATCCCCTTTCCCAGGATGAAGGGGTAAAGTTCGTCTTTAATGTGTTTGTCAGCTGGTTATCAGTCACCGTAAAAGTAGCTATTTTTTTGAACCCCACACCATATCCCACCTAAAACCTGATGGAATCTATTTCCTGCTATGGACATAGCATGTTGTAGGAAGTGCATGCTCTATTTCCAGGGAGTGGACTACAAAGAAGTCCTGAGGGAATCTGTAACAGCTAAGGGGAAAAGAGAAAAGCATAAGAAGGGGATGGAACTGTTTTATCAAGGGTTGCAGTAGGGAGCAGAGAGGACAACCTCCCTTTATGATCAAAATAGAGAAGGGTTCACTTGGTCAGACTAACTCGCAAGAAGAAAGGAAACCATTTGTAGTGAGCCCATGAAGAACTTTCTCTAAGATCAGGAAGAGTAGGCCTATTTTCACTCATATTCTCAGGAAGAATAGGAATAATTACTACTTTACAGGTGTTGTATAACTTCTTTAATTACTGCTCTAAATCCTAGTTCCCCTGCTACCAGAAAAAATTTCCAGTTACTATGTAATATTAACATTTCTTTATTCTGATACATATAATGATTATAATATAGTCTTTAGTGTAGCAGCATAAAATATTGTTGAATAAATTTTAAAGCTTTACTTAAATTCACATGTTAGAAAGTACATAAAAATCTATTCGATTAGAAGATCAAGCTTTGTAGAAAACATTACATATCTTTCTTAGAGTACTGGGAATTCAGGTCAGGTCGCTGGGATCAGGTGGGCTGTGGCCCTGCTCTAATCCAATCAGACCCTTGTGTTGTTGCAGGGAGTAGTAGTGGTGTATAACAGCAAAAGTATCACCCACTTTATATGTGGAAAAAATGTTAACATCACTGGGAAAATAAACGTTGGAATAAGGATGTATTTCGGAGAGTAAACTAGATTTTAATAAAAATTACTCCAGTTTCAGGTTTCCTATCTGCAATGTGAAATAGCTCAGAGAAGGATAAACGCTATCATTTAAATTATTAAATTGAGATAATAAAAGTCAAGCAAAGGTATGAGAATATTTTAAATAGATTGTTCTCCTTATTTCAGAGTCTTTGGAACAAATTTTTCCAAGATAAAGAACTTCGATCAATGATTGACCAGGATGTCACAAGAACGTATGTAGAACTATCTCTAAATTACTTTCAATAATTCAAATTAGTGTTACCTTTTTGTATTTTAGCAAAATGCAACGTCCATAGAGGAGCCTGGTGTTAATAACAAAGTTATTTTGTCCAAGTTTTGATGATAACTGTCATTTTCTGTTCTTAAAATACAGATTTTTGTGTGTCCTTTTTCAAAATAAATTATTATATTTATAATGATTATACTCTTAAAATAATATTTAATCATTTTTCAATTTCCAATAATTATTTAGAGTCATATGCTATGATTAAGGTTACATTATGTATTCATAATATTGATATTACTAGAAAGATTTATCTCTTGCTTTACACCTTTGAATTCCTTTCTAACAAAATTACTTTTTAAAATGACAACTATTATTTTTACCCTCCTTATTTCTGTTCACCTTGAAGCCACTGAGATCTGTGAACAGCCTCTTCTCTCAGTCTGCTCAGTGTTTACCATGTGAAAAAGTAGTTTCTTATTTAGCATGCACTCAATATCCGTAACTTTTTGTACATTGACTTCATCTCTCTGGGTTGAGTAGTAAGAAGTACACGGAATTTGTATAGCAAGAGCCTCAAATAAGTTCTAGCAATATATGCTATAATCTCAGGCAAATTACTTTCAATGAATGTCTTTCTCCTCTGTGTACTGCTCTGTAAAAGGGGGATGATAGTAATCACCTCACAGTATTTCTATAGATGAATGAGTATATGTTGTAATAGTTATAAATGAGATATGTTCATACTTTAAACTGTAAGCAATTGCATACATGTTAGTAAATTTGATTTAATCGTGGGGGTCTAGGATGAGCTGGTATGTGCAGAGTCATATATCTCTGGTACCTTCTGAGTCCTTTTGTAGCTTTGCCTGTCTGCCTACGCTTAGTTCAACTCCTGCCGGATCTATTGCAGTGCCAAGGCATCTGGCTTTCTGATATTCCTCTTTCCAGATCTAAGCACAGATAATCAGATGACATGGACTACTATTAAGGTTATCCTACCTATTTAACACATGAAATTTGTTTTAAAATGAAAATAATTCAGAGGAATCATGAGTACAACCAAATCTTAGAAAATTGGCGATAGTCGATGGGGGTGGGAGGTATGGTATCGTTTTGATGAGCGTGAGTTATCCAGTTACCAGGAGTAACCAGTTATAGGGAAGCTACCCTCAGAGGTGCGGGAGTGGTGCTTGACGTCTCCAGTATCAGTCTCTGAAAGCAGAATGCCATCGTGTTGGTGAGAGGAGGCGCTCAGTTAATGCTTGTTGAATAAAACAAAAAGAATAAATTTCCTCATCAGCCATTTAAGACACTAGGAAATCAATGGCAGTAAAACGAGCCTCTAAAAACAAAACTCGAGGTATATCTTGGTAACCAAGTAGTAACGGTATCCCTTTTTTTAAAAATGTGAGGCAGTTGTCTTAGAAAACTTGACAACTTCAGCCCGAAGTGGCTAATAAGGATGATTATCCATCCCTCCACTGTTATTAGATGGAAATGGACACACTCAGAGGCCACATGGGCAGGTTGGTTAAAAAAAAATAGCCAACAAGAAAAGGAGAATAAAACTCTGATAGCCAGACCAAGGAGGAAGCGGCACTGGAGGCCTACTCGGCATTTTGGTTACTTAGCTCAAACATTTTTGCTTTGCTGTGTTAGAAAGTCTTTCTTGGAACCTGTATTCTTATAACTATTTGGGTTCATATATTCTATGCATTTTTCTTATAAAAATGTATATGTATATATGTATCACATATATGGCTAATTGTTTTCCTTATAATTTATTTCCAGTGGTACATTTTAATTAAGTTAGCAAAACCGAGATTCAGAGAAGGCAGCCAGGAAGCCTTGTATTCATTGCATAGGTGGGGGAGGCTGCATAACTTTTCTCCCAGAAGGCTCTCCTGTGGGCCTCTCCACATTTAGCGTAAGTTTCCTTGTCATCTCACTATATATTTTGTGGCAGGTAACTTAGCTTGTAGGGTACGACTGTCATTCTTATTTTAAAGCCACTAAATTGCCTAATCCTAAAAGCTGCATACCTTGAATAAGTTTACTACTTTAGGTAATACAGTCTTTATAAGGCACTACGTGATCTAAAATCCATGGTTTTCAATCCAGTCTGTAAGGCAGCTCGTGATGCAATAGGAGAAGAAAGGAAGTACAGCTCAGTGATCATTACACAATATCTATTTATTGATAGTCTACCCTATTCCAGGCGGATCCTTTGCATTGCAGGGACAGAGTGGTGCATAAGGCAGACATGGTCCTGCTATCACAGGATGTCCGTTTTAGTGTAGGGGGTTGGTGGTAGGGTGACACAATACGCATGTATAGATAAGGAGGGCAATTGCAGAGGGTAGTAATTGCTATGAAGAAATAAAGATGGGTAATAGAACAGCTAGGAGTAATGGCTGCTTTAGGAATAGTGATCAAAAAAGGCATCTCTGAGAAGATGACATTTGAGGTGATACATGCAAAAATTTTAAAAGCCAGTCATGTGAAGATCTAGGGGAAGAACATCCCAGGTAGAGGAAATAGCTGGTGCCAAGTCCCTCAGTTAAAATACGCATAAGCTCAGTATTTAGAGGAACAACAGGAAGGCAGGTATGGCTGGAGGAGAGTGATTTAAATGGGGAAATTGAGAGGAGGTCAGATGCCAGACAAGCAGTCCGATAGACCACAGTAGGGAGTGTGGATTTCATTGCAGTTGCAATGGGAAGCCGTTAGAGGGTAGTGAGCAGGGGTGTCATATCTAGAAAGGTAATTCTGGCTCCTCTAACAGTGGTGTGAAGGTGAAGGCAGGAATGGATCATTTGCAGTATTCTAAGTTGAGTAATGCTACTGATATAAACTAAAGAAGGTTAAGAATAGACAGATTGAGGATATACATTTTATAGTTTTAAATACAAATTAGAGAGTCATTGTATGTAGTCTTCTCACATCAGCTCTGCTCCATTTGTACTGCTGTTTCAGGTTCTTTTTACCTCCTACCTGGGTCTCTTGTTTAATTGTTCTTGTGGATCTGTTACCTGTCTCTTCTGGTACTATCCATGGGTAACAGCCCTATTTTCTCAAAACACGTTTCTAGTCATAATACTTGCTTAATCTTAAACTTTGTCTCTCTGTGGTCTGCAGAAGAATGGATTTGCTTCTTAACACACACACACACAGATCCCTTGTAGGGTTCCCATTTATCTTTCTGTTTTTGATTTCTAGTTTAATTTCACTGTGGTCTGAGAACAGACATTGTATCATTTCTATTCTGTCAAACATGTTCAGGTGTGTTTTATGGCCCAGAATGTGGTCTGTGTTGTGACTATTCCTTGTACACTTGAGAGGAATGTGTATTCGGCTGTTGTTTGAGGGAGTGTATAGATGTCAGTTACATGCAGCAGATTGATGATGTTGTTGAGTTCAACTGTGTCCTCTCTGATTTTCTGCCTGACAGATCTGTTTAGTTCTAACTGTGGAGTGTTGAAATTGCCAACCATGTTAGAGGATTCTCTTACTTCTCTTTGTAATTTTAGCAGTCATTTTCCTTACATAGTCCAATGCTCTTTGCTTAAGAATCATACATAATAAAGATTGTTGTGACTTCTTGGAAAATTGACCCCTTTATTATTATGTAATGCATTCTTTATCTTTTAATTAGTGTTAGTATGGTATGTTCTTCATTCATATACTTTTAATGTACAATACATGAATCTTTATATTTAAAGTGGGTTTCTTGTACCCAACATATAGTTGGGTCTTTTTTTTTTTGTGCATACAATCTTTTAATTGGTGCATTTAGACCATTTATGTTCAGAATCATTGTAGATATAGCTGGATTATTATCCAGTATGTTTGTTATTGTTTTCTATTTGTTACCCCTGTTCTTTGTTCCAGTTTTTGTCTTCTGTCTTTTTCTGCCTTTCATTGTATTAATTGAGCATTTTATATTATTTTTTCTTTTTTCTTAGCAAATTGGTTGTATTTCTTTTTTTACCTTTTTAGTGACTGCCCTAGAATTTGCAGTATACATTTCAACTAAACCAAATCCACTTTCAAATACACTATACCACTTCACAGATAGTGCATGTACCTTATAATAACAAAATAATTGTAATTCCTCCTTCCCGTTTATTATTTCTGTCCATTTTTCACTGATATATAAGCATATATATATACACACACATCCATATGTGTGTATGCATGTACACACACACATCAGCTACATAGTTGAATGCATTGTTGGTGTTATTATTTTGATCAAATTGTTATATTAATTAAAAATTAGAAAAGTAAATGTTTTTATTTTACCTTTACTTATATATTCCTTCTTATGTTCTTCCTTTATGTAGCTCTGAACTTCTGGCCTATGTTATTTTTCTTTTCACTTAAGAACTTTGAAAATCATTTCTTGTTAGATAGGTCCACTGGTAACAAATTCCCTATTTTTGTCTTTTTGAGACTATTTTTATTTCTCCTTTTTGAAAGATAATTTCACAGGTGCAGAATTCTGGGTTGTTTTATTTTTCTCTAAGAATTTTAAATATTTCACTCCATTTTCCTCTTGTTTACATGGTTTCTGAGAAGCTGGATGTGATTCTTTGTTCTGATACAAGAGTTTTTACATTGGGGTAAGAGTTTTTTTCTTATCTTTTTGGTAGTCTGAAAATGACATGAACAGCCTGGGTGCTGTTCTTTTGGCCTTTATCTGGCACGGTTTTCTCCAAGCTTTGTGGATCTGTGGTTTGGGAATTTGGGGAATTTCTCAGCCATTATTGTTTCAAATATTTATTCTGTTCCTTTATATCTTTTTTCTCCTTTTGATATTCCCATTAAGTGTATGTTACACCTGTTATACTTGTCCCACAATTCTTGGATTTTCTGTTCTTTTTTTTATTCCAGTCATTGTTCTTCTTGCTTTTTAGTATTCAAGGACTCAATATATTCTGTAGCTGAGAGATTCTTTCCTCACCTAGGTTCAGTCTTCTAATG